TCCATCTGTCCACCCACCCACCACCCATCCATCCATCTACCCACCCATCCACCCATCCATCCACCCACCCACCCATCCATCAACTCACCCTTCCATCTCTCTAACCACTGGTCCATTCACCTATCTTTCCACCCATCTTTCATTCACCTTCTCCTCTATGCCAAGCCCTGTGCTCAGATACAATCCCCCTTACCATTCTACAATGTAACCAAAGGAAATTGGCATCCTCTTTTTTTAAAATAAAGTTTTAAAGTAATCTCTATACCCTACATGGGGCTTGAACTCATGACCCCGAGATCAAGAGTTGCATGCTGAACTGACAGAGCCAGCCAGCCACCTCTAAAAATCATTTTAATTTTTAAATTTTAAACTGCCTAACTAATATATACTTATATAGTAGAAATATACAGACACGTATGTTTAAAAGTAAAAATCTTCCTTTATTCCTATTACTCTCCAGTTCCACAGACTTCCCTAACAATGGTTTGGAGGGTATCCTTTAAGTTAGTTTTATGCCTTTACAGATACACGACAGACTCACACACATGAAAATATAGGTGTGTGGACAGGATCACACAACACATGCTATTCCGAAACTTGCATTTTTCACTCAACAGCCAGTCTAAAAAATTCTGTGTGAGCGCACGAAGAGCAAGCTCAACCTTCTAAATGGCTGTCATAATTTTTTAACCAATCCCCTATCGATTGGCCTTTACAATGTTTTCAGTTTTTCGCTCTTATAAACAAGACTTCAAGGAACATCCTGACACAGTTTTCTTCGGGCATGCGTGCTCTGGGCGTGGAGTCAGAAAATGGAACCCCTTCCCGTTTCAGGTATTTAAATATAACCGATTCCTGAACTCTGATGGGTCAGAGAAGAAAGACTTTTACAAGGACGGGAAACGACTGAAAAGTTGCAGCCTGCCGTGGGGAGCTGGACACAACCAGTGCATGGGGAAGGCTTACGCCGTTAATAGCATCAAACAGTGAGTGTGGGGGCGGGGGGGTGCTGGTGGGGGAGGCACCTGCTCCAGCCCATTGGCACACGCCTCCTCTCTGGAGACCAGGGGTTCTCAGCCAGGAAAATGGGCAGAGGCTCCAAACGGCCTCTGAGCCATCTCCTGCCCACAGGTCTGTTTATTTGTGTGTTTAAAAATGTGTGCTAACTTTTAAGAATCCGAAGATCTCACATTAAAAAAAGCCAGATTTCTGGTCTCTTCTGAAATAATCAGACCTGGCAGTGAGCTCTTCCCTCCAAACCTGGTGTCCAGATACTAAACACGGGACATTCGGTGCCGCTGGCCGTTGCTGTCTGTCTGCAGCTGCTGGGCACGTTCAGAACCCCTCGGCAGGAACTGGCCAAACGTCATTGTTCCCTCTTGGTTATTTTAATGGCTGTGCACTCGAGTGCTTTATAAATTCTCTTCCCTGGATCCCGAGAGCCTTGGCCCCGGACCACAAACAGATCCGGCCAGGGTTATGACATCCGCCCTGTCCTTCTGTCCTGCCCCCGTGTAATTGTAAGCTGGGTCACCTGCTGTGCCTGGGTCCTCAACTGTCCAGTTGGGGTTACTGATCATACTGTATCCCAGGGGTGTCAGAACAAAGGAATTGAGGCTTGCAAAGTACTTAAGCCACTGCCTGGCTCATTGTAAATATCTAATAAGTGCTAGTTATTACTGTAATTACTAATAATTAGTGATTACTAATATGCAGGCGTTGTGCTAAGTGAATGGGCACATTACATTAATCTATTGGTCTCCGCTTTCTCAGCAGTGAAATGGAGCTCCTAATATAGCCAGTTCTGCCTGAATGCTTCAGGTGACATTCCTAAAAATCACGGCCATGTGAAACCACATGATAAAATCCACAGGGATTGTGGGGGAAATGGGGCTGGGGCCCGACAGACAAAAAACCTCCGAAGTGACACATGCAAGATAAGAACCCAGGGGCAGAGATGGTCGTACAGGCTTACACGTGTTTCGTGGCTGAGAAGTACTTAGGTGCTGCCGTAAATATGGCTCTTCACTTTGAAAACCACCTGAAGTTTGTTTGTGGAAGTGGGCGGTGGTGGGTTGCAGCTGTGCTGTGAAGTGTGGAAGGAGGGTCCCCTGGGGGCGCACGAGCCACCCCGTGAGCCGAGCTCGCTGGTGGCTAGAGTTTAGGTGCGCACGTGCGTGGGTTTGTGGCTTCCCACTTAGTGGGTCCAGCTGGGTGCGGCTTAGCATTCTCCTTGTGCTTCTCGCACACAAAACACGTGAGCAAATGGGAAATCTGCCCGAGGCTTCCTTGGTGCCCCAATACATCAGTCACATTGGAACAGACTCACGTGTTCAAAAGTGTTGCAGCAGAACTCACTGCGGGTATTACCTCATAAAGTTTTTGGACAGATAAAAAGAGATCTCGGATACTAAATGCTTAGCACAGCGCCTGGCACCTGGCGTTTCAACACATTCATCAATTTCTCGTTATTTGATCTCCGCTCACTGTCATGCAACCCTGCCCGGTAGGGGTCAGTCCATTACTGACCCTAGAGGTCAGATCATTTGCCACCATGATCACGCACCTGGGTAAGGGGAGGTGCCAGGATCCACATCCAGGTGTGGGTACAGAACTCCCCGCCCTGTCCTGTATAAACTCACTCTCTAGCATCCTAGAGCTTCAGAGCTGGGATGGACCCATCCCACCTCTTTGACCAGGTCGGGAAACTGAGGCCCAGAGTGGGGAAAGAAACCTGATGCGGGTCAAGAGGCAGAGCTGTGTTTGCCCAGCTCCGCTGTCAAGAGCGTGGACTTTGCTCCGTCCTCGCCTTCCCGCCTTGAGGCAGGGGCGCCTTTTCCCAGTCTCAGAGACAGCCACTGGCTTCGCAGTGGCCCCGGCCGGAGCAGACAGTAAGGGTCCCAGGAGTTGGGTGGGGTGCAGGGGGTGGGGAGGGCTCTGGTCTGGGGGAGTCGGAAAGGGTCACTGATGCTGCTGTAACAAACGACCCCCAAATCTCTGGCCTGTGACAACTCACAAAGTGGGTTGTGGGTGTGGGAGGACCCCTGCCTTCCACACACAGACTCAGCGACCCATCTCCCCACTCCGGCACCCTGGCACGAGGCACACACAGCCATCGGGCAGAAAGCACGCCGAGGGCCTCATGCTGACCAGGCAGCCTTTGGTGTGGAGTCGGCCCTTGTCACTTCTGTCCAGCCCCACAGCAGAACTGGTGGGCGGGCCTCCGAGCCACAGGGGCTGGCGGACGGGGAGGAGCTTGTGGACTTCGGCTGTGCTCTTGCCCTCTCCTTCTCCCACCTTCCCCGAAGCGAGGGCTGGGGTGACTGGGGAGGAAGCCACTGCCTTCCTGCCTTATTCCAGAGAAGCCCCCCTAGTCTTCCAATGCTGCACACGTTCAACACCATCTCTCTGCAGATTCGTGTTCCTTGTGCTGGGGCACTTTGACCTGGAGCTGATCAACGCAGACGTGGAGATCCCTGAGTTTGACCTCAGCAGGTACGGCTTCGGGCTGATGCAGCCGGAACACGACGTGCCCGTCCGTTACCGCGTCCGGCCGTGAGCTCCGGGAGCAGATGGGGCTCCGCACACGTGCCTCCACCCACCCTGCCCCCCATCACCCAACTTCCTGTGTCTGTTTGCCCTGGGTGCAGGAGCTTTGACCGCCCAACGGGGCCAGCATGACCACTTTGCTGATTTTTTTTCCCTAGAAGGCTGTGTCTGGGGAGGGGACCGAAGGCAAGCTGACAGGAGGGGGATGGAAAAGGACACAAAGCTCTGTGAATTGTCTGCGGCTATGGTTGAGTTCCAAAATGAGTCTCTGCTCCTAGCTCACCTTGCTCTCCCCACTCCCTCCACCCCCATGATATCCACAAAAGCTGGGGCAGGCAGGGCAGAAGCAGGAGTCCTTAAAGCTCTGCTGTGCCCCACCTCCCCAAGGGGCCAAGTCCTTGCCAGTGCTGTGGTCCAGGCCTTAGCCAGTCAAACCAGATGCTGGCCATAAAAGAGCCAATCAGGGCCACGCAGTGTATCTCTTAAAATCAGCTGTGTCCCCAAATTATTAAACTAGCCAACACCAAAGGAGTCCCTTAGAATCTCTCCTCCCTAGGTGCCCTATTCACTAGACACTTCCCTCATCTCTCCATTCACACTGATGTTTGAGAAAATTCAGGAAGGTTTTCCCAAAGGCTGATGCGTTCAAGGTGCAGATCATGAGCCCCCTCCAAAGACTGGGCTCTAAGGAGTAGAGTTCTTTGTTGTAGACATATGGGCTCCAGATGGGAGAGCTTTCCCAGTGTCGAGACTCAAGTAGGGAATAAGAAAGACAGTCCAACAGGATGGTCCCAATGGAAGGAACCAGCCAGGGCTCCTTGGAATGGTCAAGCCAAAAAAAGAGGTGTTGGTTTTCTACATTCTAGCTTGGAAGCTCCAGCTGTGGTATATGATCCATTGGCTGACCTGTTTTTTTGGCCTATGCTTATGAAAAAATACATTAGTTGTTACCGTGTCATCTGTGGGAGAGTTCATTTAAAATGTCCAGCTTCTCTTGAAAATTTGGAAGCTCTGGCCACACTGGGCCCATATTCCCAAGGGCAACTGTTGGCCAGAGCTGAGCAGCTGCCCACTTCCTTACCCAGGGATGTGCATTCTGGCTCACTAGGGTTTCCACTTGGTGGAAATTTTTCTTTCTGCTTCTCCATTCACAGTCCCTCCTGGCCCTTGAAGGCATTCCAGTTTGAAAGCCCTGTTCTAACTCTTAGAAGTGATCTTGTAGGAGGTGGTAGGAACCTACTAATTGGTCCTCGGACCAGTGGTGCACCCTATCCTGGATGCACCATCCTTCGAACAAAGATCAAGGATGAAAACTTGCCTTTGTGTCAGCTTTAGAAAAAAACAGGTCAAAGAGGAAAACCTGCGGAAACCTTTATTCTGTTAAGTACTATTACTAACATTAGTCCCTGTTTATTGAGGACCCTCTAAATGCCTGTGACGGGCACAGTGGATCCAGTATTTCTGCTTCTCACAGCATCTGTGAAGAGAGGACGGTTATGCCTTCTTTAGAGATGAGGAAATGGGCTCAGAGAGGTGACGTGACTTGGTAGGATTTGGCAGAATTATTGTCCCAGTAGCACACGGTAGATGGGCAGCTCTGCGTTCCTTGGGCTCAAGGGAGGGGCGGGGGTTGGAGGGCCAGTTCTGTTTCACGTTGGAGAGCTGACAAAGCCAGAGGCACCCATGGCTGGCTGCGTCTCACGAGACGCAGACATGCATATGCACGCATAGCTCGGTCCCTGTAGCTTTAGCTGGGGGGAGGAGAGGACCTGAGATCTCTGAACATTCCAGGGGCCAGTCTCTGCTCAGAGCAGCACCAGGGCTTGGGGGCTTCCCTGGCCCCCAGCCTCCAGGCGCCCCCAGGATTCCCAGACAGACACTGTGATTGGCAGGAGGCAGGGTATCCCCAGGGAAACCCATCTTCACGCCTGGGTGACCCCCGCTGCCGCCTCCTTCTTAACTCTGCGGGAAATCAGGGTTGGCAGCCTTCTGTGGGAGGATGGAGCCTGTTTCCATGGCAACCGTAGCTGCCTCCTCCTGGCTTGGAAGGGAAGGAAGAAGGCTGGCAGAAATAGATGCAGGAAGATCTCGTCGAGCAGGGCTGTACCCCGGTGTGTGGGGGGAAAAGCCCTTATGACTTTGCCCCCCTCCAAATCAGGGCTGCCCTGTCACTGGGACTAGGTTCTCACCCATGTTCCCTAAAAGGCCAATTCCTCTAAAAGGTGGCACCTCCTTGGAACCACAGACATTAGGAAGAGATGGTTCTCCCACCAGGCAGCCCCAGCTGGTACCAGAGATCTTGAAGAAGAGCTTGGGGGGACAATGCCTTAAACCCTCCCTTGTTTTAATCTTTCTTTTTTCCTTTCCCCCAACCACCCTTTTCTTCTTTAAAAAAAAAAAAATCAATATAAGGTATAGAGTAAAGAGGGAAAGATGAGTGTGTTAGCTCCTTGCTGCAGGTTAGTTAAGAAGGTACCCGGATATCGTTGTATTTCTTCATACTTTGCTTTAGAACCACAAAATTGCAGGACACATGTCAGAAATGCTCTTAGGTCAACCCAATGAAGTGTTTCCTCTCCGTCAGCATTATTGTTATTTTGTTTGTGCTCTATTTCGTATTGTTGTTTACCAGGTATTTTCTTTTAAAACAGACTCATTCTTTAAACTTTAAACTTTTAAAGGGGAACTTTATTCCACTGCTGCCATTAAGGGACAACATGTATCACTCGCTGCCAAAAATAGAAAGTGGCTGTGAAAAATACATTTGCTGGGGGAGGGCCTCCGGGCCCCTGTCGCCAAGGCTCAGAGCCTGAGCTCTGTCTCGGCTCTGTTACAAAATGAGACAAGCAAGCAATGCAGGGGCGGTTAGAGCCAGGGCAGCACCACCTCGAGACTTTCGAGACTTTCTCCTTGACCGTCTGGGGCAGGAGGAGGAGTAAGCTGCTCAGCGCAAGTCGGAGCTCCTGCCTGGCCGGCCCCGCCCACGGTGAGCTGGGGACGGCCCACCTGCCCATCCTCCGGATGGAGAAACAGGCTCTAGGAGTTGAAGTGTCTTGCTAAAGTCCTTGATCTTGGTGTGTGTGTATGTGTGTGTTAGTAAACACAGTGTTTGGGGAGTAGCAATGATTATTATGCCTTGCTGTTTTAATAAAGAATTCTATTTTCATATAATCTTGTTGAGCGGAAATGTGCTGAAATGTATTAAACCATCCTTGTTTATGGAACTGCCTCTGAGTGTGATTTAGGTTGAGAGTCGGCCATGTCCGGAATGGCAAGGGTGGTTTCTGGGAAGAGAGGCACAGACGACCTACTGTGTGCCGACTTTGGGACAGGGCCTTTAGAATCCAGTCGTACCGCCAGCATCCCTCTGTATATTATTGTCCATTTTTACAGATGGAGAAACTGATGGTCAGAGAGGTAAGTGGCTTGCCCAAGATCACGTGGCTAATTAGTAACCACAAGAGTTGAGTGCAGGCCTCTCTGCCTCCTGAGACCATGTTGAGGATCTTTCTGTCAACAATCCTGTCGGCAAAAGAGGGCCAGGATGCCCACAGAGGACCTTGGGGAGGAGGCTCACAAAGTAAGACAAGCAGAAAAAAATCTCTTAAAAATTCACTGGATGTTCTCTATCCTTCACCACAACATATGCATTTGGTTTTTGTTTGTTTTTTTTAAAAGATTTTATTTATTTGAGAGAGAGTGCACGAGCAGAGGGAGGGGCTGAGGGAAAAGCAGACTCCCCACTGAGCAGGGAGCGTGGGGGCTGGTGTGACCTGCGGCATGCTTGGGGCTCCATCCCAGAACCCCGGGATCATGACCTGAGCCGAAGGCAGACACTCAACCAACTGAGCCACCCAGGCGTCCCTTCATTTGTTTTAATATAAAAAAGAAGAGGTGAAATGAATTAGACTTGGGGAAGATAAAAAAGAAAATTGTTTTTTTCTCTCCAATCTTAGAGCAAAAAATAATTTCCCAAGGCAAATGTCCCTCGCATCATGTTCCTCATCTACAAGGGGGCATGGAGGCATGGAGGCAGGTCTGGTGGGATTGAACTTGGCTGTGATGGATCTCTCAAGTAAGACAGCAACATTTTACATATAAGATGTTTACATTCAACACAGCAGACACTTCTTTCCCTTTCACCCAACAGCTCCACCACCACCAGCCCCTCTGGTCGCTCCAGCATCTGTGTGTGTGGGAAAGAGGGTGCAAAGTGGGGAGAGTTGGTGGCATGCTGTCCTCTTGCCCTGGGACCTCCTCTAGGACCTCAGAGTGGCCTGAGTGTCCGGGGAGAGACAAGGCAAGTGTACCCACATTAGGCAAACCCGAGAAAGTGGCCTGGGGGCATCTGGATCCTTATGATGAACGGAGTCTCTGTGTGACTTTATTTCAGGGGCTCTGAGGGCTGACCACTGTGGGAGAAATACTGATTCCTTGGCCAAGGGCCAAACTCCCAGTGTCCCTGCTAAAAGAACCCTGGTTTCTTTTTTTTTTTTTAAAGTTTTTGTTCATTTATTTTTATTTGAGAGAGAGAGAGAGAGCATGAGAGAGGGGGAGGTCAGAGGGAGAAGCAGACTCCCTGCCGAGCAGGGAGCCCGACGCGGGACTTGATCCTGGGACTCCAGGATCATGACCTGAGCCGAAGGCAGTCGCCCAACCAACTGAGCCACCCAGGTGCCCCAAGAACCCTGGTTTCTTTCACATATTAGGCAGCCATGTGCTCAGAGAAAATGGGCCCAACCTCCAAATCAAGACTTGAGGTTTGTTGTAGGTAAGTGATGAATCACTGAATTCTACTCCAGAAACCAATATTGTACTGTATGTTCACTAACTAAAATTTCTTTTAAAAATTATGCATTTAAAAAAAAACGAAAAACAAACGGGTTGAACCAAATATAGGTATCAGGCCCCTCTAGTGACTGGGCTAGTAGTTGTCATGTGATCCAGTAAGGGCCAATGAGATGATCAGGGAAGTCTGTGGGGAGCTTCAGAAGTGTGGAGGAAGTTCCTCCTTCCTCCCTCTCTTAGAGCTGTCATGAGAGAGCATGGCTCTGGCAGCCATTTTGTGATCATGAAGATAAGAGGATCTCCGAGAAATCCAAGAATCCTGAGGCCTCTGGTTGCTGCTGTGATAGACCCTAGCATCACCTACCTCTGGATTTTGTGTTAATTGGAATACTCGATGTATTTACTGTTCAGGCTCTACTCAGAGACCACATACTAGAGTGGTTAAGACCACAGGCTCTGCCTAGGTTTGAATCTCTGTGGAGCCACCTAATACCATGGTGATTTGGGGCCTCTCTCTGTGTCCCAGCTTCTTCACCTGTAAAATAAGGATAATGGAGAATGATGACATCAGGCTTTGTGAGCATTAAGTGAGTTAATATTGCCATTCACAACCAGTGGAGGAGACCAAGAATGCATAGCCTCAGCCTCATAATGAAGTTTCCCAGAGGAAAGAGAAACTACTCCAGATGGTGAGGAGGCAGGGAAAGTGACACTGGATCTGGATTTTGGAAGGTGAATAAGGGTCCACTGTGTGGGAAAACTGATGGTTGGAGCTGGGGAAGCATTCTAAGGCAATAGAAACAGAATGAACAAAGGCCCGGTATCAGTTATCTGTGGCTGTGTAACAAATAACTCCCAAATGTAGTGATTTAAAATGAAATTGTTTGGGGCACCTGGCTGGCTCAGTCAGTCAAATGCCTTCAGCTCAGATCATGATCTCAGGGTCCTGGGATGGAGCCCCATGTCAGGGTTCCTGCTCAGCGGGAAGCCTGCTTCTCCCTCTTCCTTTGCCCCTCCTCCCTGCTCATGTTTGCTCTCTCTGTCTCTGTTTTGCTCTGTCTCTCTCTCTCAAATCAATAAAAAAATAAAATGAAATTGTTTTGGGGCGCCTGGCTGGCTCAGTTGGAAAAGCCCAACTTGATCTCAGGGTTTGAGTTCGGGCCCCACATTGGGTGTAGAGATTATCCCCCAAAACAAATTTAAATAGAATGAAATTGTTTTATTATTTATCATGGTTTTGTGGGTTGCCTGGGGCTTAGTTGGATGGTTCTTCTGCAGGTCTCACTTGGGGTCTCCCACATAGCTGCAGGCAGATGTCAGGTTGGGCAGCAACATCTAAGATAGTGCGTTGGCAGGAACAACGGACAAGCTGTGCTCAGCTGAGACATTAGAATGGCTGAGCCCCTCTCTCCTGTGTAATTTCAGGGCTTCTCACTCTGTGGCTCAGAGCTCTCGAGAGCACAAAAGTGGATGCTGTCAGACCTTCTTTAAGGCTTTGGTCTGGACATGGCATCACTTCTGCCATATTCTGCTGGCAAAGATGAGTCACAAGGCCAAGCCCAGAGTCGAGGTGGATTGGAACGGGGCAAGGCGTGCCAACCCAGAGGCAGGTCCTTGGAGGGCCATGTTTGGGAAGTGGCTATCACTGGGCCAGAGGTTGGAAAGTGTTTGCCTGAAATGTGGGGATGTAGCGGTAAGTGAGGAAGCTGGAAAAGCAGAGAAGGCAAGAGTCAGACACAACTTTCTGTGTCTAAGTGTGTGGGGGAAGAGAAGCACCCTCTCTTTGTGAGAAAGAAGGAAATACTCAGAATTCTGGCAACCGTCTCCCCAAACCCAAAATGTCATCAGTTGTCTCCCCATCTCCGTGGAGGGGGATGACGGGCAAGGGCTGCAAAACCCACCGAGGATCGCCCTGTGTCAGAGGGGCCAGCACTCTCCCTTGAGGGAGGCGTCTTGTCAGGTATTGTCCTCAGTTTGGAGACTCTGAGGCCACTGCAGAAACCAAGATCTCAGAAATCTTTAAAACAGTCTTTTATATCCTGAAGGTAAAAATCAAATCAGCTACTCCCTGCTTAAGACTCTCCAAGGCTCTTGACATAAAATCCAAACATCTCCCCACAGCCCTCACCTACATGATTTTTCTCCTTCTCTGTTTTTCTCTCCTACTCCTTCTTGGACCACTCTTGCCCTCCTCACTCACTCTGCTCTGGCCACATCCACCATCTTCCATCTCCTTCAACCCTCCTGCCCCAGGGCCTTTGAACCTGCTCTCCCTTCTACCTTTAGCTTGGAATGCCCTTCCCCCTGCTCTTTTATGGCTTGCTGATTACTCTGATTTACCATTCACCTGCAGCATCACCGCTCCCTCCTTCCCATTGTTCTGACATTCATACTTTTCTTATTTCCTGCTCAGCAATTATCAATATTAGATTATTTTTAAATGTCTCTGTTTATGCCTCCCATTTAAATGTGAGCTACTGGAGGGCAGGTTAACTTCACCATTCCTGCATTCCCAGCATGCAACATAAGCTCGATACATAGTAGGTGCTCAGGAAGTACGCACTAAATGAACAAGTGGTCTTTTCCTCATCTTGGGAGAGTTTGTCTTTTATCCTGGATGGTGAGGAGTTATGAAGGTTATTCAGCAGGAGAGTGACATGGCCAGACTTCTGCTTTTTAAAGGCCTACCCTGGTAGCTGTGGGGAGGTTGGGTTAGAGGAAGGATAAAACTAGGGGATGAAGATCAGAGAGGAGGCAGATGAGACTGGGAAGAGGTGGACAAGGGCAGTGGAGAGAAGGTAGAAAAGATATCAGTTCCCAAAGGGCAGGGGAGCTGGATGTCAATGAAATGTTATCTTACAAGAATCAGTTCATTTGCTCTTGATCTCTAGCTTTGATTTCCTCCTTTTGCTGACTTGCTCCTTTTCCATCACATCTTGGAGTTCCCAGGCCATCTGCAGGGAAGAGATATTACTTTACCTTTAATTGCTTTGCTGGAAGCCCATGCCTCAATCCATCCATGCCCTGTATTTCATCATTTTTTGGCCGCAGACCCTGGGAGTCAATGACTTTGGCAAAGTCCAGGCTACAAAGGGGTTTGAGGGACTATGTGCCCGTTTACCTATCTCCTTCTGTGGGACCTTCTGGGGGCACCCATATTTCCTCCCAGGGAGGGAGCCGGGGCTTACCACAGAGCGTCACATGTAATAAACACTATAAAATGGTAGGTAGTAGATGAGTGGGGATGGCCAAGTGAGTGGGTGGGTGCGTGGATGGAGGATGGATGGATGGATGGACAGATGAGGGGGTAGGTAAGTGGTGGACAGATGCATGAATATTTGAGCTGGATGACCGTGTGGGGGGGGATGAATGAGTAGGTAAGTAGATGCATGGATAGGTGGATGGATAAGTGGTTGAGTGAGTAGGTGGGTAAGTA